AAAGTACAAATTTTGTGAGTTTTTTTTTGTGCTCTGGATCCTCATCTTCTACATGGAGTTAAATTGAACGTATGATATCTTCCTCAGAAGGTCGTTTGTCTGGTTCCACAAGATGTGGAAACTCATAAACTTGCTTTAATCTCACATTGAGATGCTGAGCGTATACTAAAATGGTGGACATGTCTGCGTTTGCAACCACAAGGCATATCTTCACAGTGAATAGAAAAAGATTACAAAATAAACAGATAGACTGCAAACTTTCAGAAAAAGTGACTTGCCCGCACCTGATTCATTGCTCATTAATATTTACTATGTGTAAAGGGGATATGCAGCCTTTGTCTGTATGGATTTAGATTAATGAATTTTCTTTTATATTTAGATCATCTTTGTATTTCCATTGTCAAAGTTGACAGTGATGTTAGCATGCTGTTTGAATGATGCAATTGTATGAAATCAGTCCTAGATTTTGAACAGTTCCTCATTTGTAGTATCCAGATCACCCAAAACACCGGTACGGAGCATTTTGATTATATTAAGATTTCAATCTGAATATTGATCCAAAGACAGGTTGGAAGTGAACCCAACATATTGTAGCTCTTCACCTGATAAGAAGTTGCATAAAAAAAATGGAGCCAAATATTAAAACATTTTAAAAAGCCAGTTGAGAAAAAAAAATTATTAAAGGGTTAGTTCACCCAAAAATGAAAATTATGTCATTAATGACTCCCGTCTTTTACGTCAGCAGCGCCACTGAACGCGGATTGACAACAGAACCGGAAGAGAATACAATGCTGAATAAAGTCGTAGTTTTTGTTATTTTTGGACCAAAATGTATTTTCGATGCTTCAAAACATTCTAACTAACCAGTATACCGTACATACATTTTCAATGGCGGGACAGAAAGCTCTCGGACTAAATCTGAAATATTTTAAACTGTGTTCAGAAGATGAACGAAGGTCTTACGGGCTTGGAACGACATAGATGGTTTAGATCAGGGGTCTCAAACTCAACTTAACTGGGGGCCGCTGGAGGTAGAGTCGGGGTCAGGCTGGGCCGCATCAAGTATTCCACAAAAAATAGTATTCAAGAATTCCAAAAAAGGAGTACAACTGATCCAATCTTCTCAATATTTATTATTAACGTTTCTTCTGAACTGTTCCTCTGAATTTGAACATTCCTTTCTGTACATGATTGGTTCTTCATGAGCTGTCCTTCTGACAGTTGAAGTTCATTTTACAAACTTTCTTTGTCTATAACACATATTTGTGATATTTATATTTGCTTATGTCCTTTTTATTTTCTTTATACAACACATTAATGATATTGAATGTTTTTTTTTGGAATGCACATTTCCTTTTATTATACTTATAAAAACAATTATTGGTTTTGAAATACAAATATTTGCAGTCATGTCTGCCTGTCTTATTGAATTCTTTTTACACATGTATAGTGTCTCAAATTACTGACTGCACAAATCAAAGCAAACCTTCTTATCAACCTGTTGGACACATATTACAAGCTCAAAATGATTATTCTCACATTGTTTTAGAGCAGGGGTCTCTCTCCAACACGTCGCTCGCGAGCTGCCAGTAGCTCGTGGCCTGATTGGTGGTAGCTCGACAAGGGGCCGTTCACATATCGCGCTCACATATTTTGCGCGCTTAAGTTCGTTATTTCAAATGTAGGCGCGCGGCAAGCGAGCTCATAATTGAAGCGACGCGCTCATTTTTTCCAGGCGCAGTATGTTTGTACTTCGCGGTTGTCTATGACATAGACATCATATAGGTAGACGCCCTATCGACCGCTACTGCCTATTGGCACGGACGAGAATTGGAGCCGCCATCTTAAACCGGTCATCCGCTCCGCTCAGTGTAATATGAATGGCAGGTGAAATGAGCTGTCAGCGCATTAAATTAATCATATCTCACTGAATACTGAACTGATTTTCACGCGGTTTTTTTTGCTGCAAAGGTCATTCATGTAGCTATGATACAGGACACATGGTTCGGCGTATTTTAATATCCATAGTAGGCTTAACAGTAATATAATATTCTGATATAAGATATAAAGTGACCAGACACAATATGTGTGATGAAGGATATAATGTATTTTATAAATCACACACTATAAATATAATAAAGAAGCAGAAACAGAGTTGCAGTAAAGTAAGATATTTTAATAAGTTGAAGAAACAATTTATGATTTGTGACACGCACAGACACACAAACAAACACGAACAGACACACACACACACACACACACACAAACACTTTCACACACACATAACGCCGCCACCGAATCCACCGAACGCAGCCACCTGTAATAAAAATTGAGAAGAAGCTTTTCAACGTGTTTGCATCAGTAATTTCTAAAAATTAAATTCGGACAACATTAAGCCTATACCTTTTTTATTGTATGTGGATGTGGGAGGGGAAAATGTCGAGACTAAAGCCCTATTCGGATTAACTTTACAAGGGTAGATGGAGTAAGTTAATAATGTAATTTTACCACAGGACTTCTGTAATATCAATAGCCAAATCGCATGTAATAAGATATAGGTTATCAATAAAACTAGAAGTTGGAGGGGTAACTCAATTTGCGCATCGCTGTAATGCTTGTATACATTGCTTCCTGATGTCATGATGTGCGTGTAACTGGTCTCCTGTTACATGCGCAAACACAAATAACATACAACAGTGCAGTTGAATGCTTATCTGATAACCTAGAAGCTCTTGTAATTACTACTTTAACAGTTACCCCACCTCTCCATGCCGGGTGAACACCGGCTGATGCAGTAAACAGCATTTCACAACGATTTCAGTACAGTAATAGCAAATATCCTTGCTCCTCCTTATTGATTATCTGGTAATATTCTATTCACAAAATACAACCAATAGTACGGTAATGTTAAGACTTACTTGTGAAAAGCCCTATTTTCGATGGTCCGACGATTAGAACAGGAAAATGCTCCACAATGCTCTGGCATCTTATCTGCTGCCACGCAACGAAACTAGGAATACGACCGGTTCAAGATGGCGGCCGGATTTCTCGGTTTCCAGCGGCCAATAGGGCATCTAGTCTCTATGATATCTATGGTCTATGACAACTACTGACAACAAACCCACCGTAAGCTGTCACGAGACTATCTATGGTAGCCCGTAAGGGATAAAAAAATTATTTTTTTAAAAACGCGGCACACGCAACGACGGGCCGCACTAACATTAAACTTTAATGTCAAGTAGGGGGCCACCCGCGGGCCGCGAGTTTGAGACCACTGGTTTAGATGGATGGTTTGGAAGATTAGATGGTTTATGACACAAAATGGCCCATAGTTGGGTTAATGGCCTAATGGCCCTTTGTGTCAAGGTCAACAAGTCTCTTACCTTTTTAAAAACATAATGATATTTACAGTATGAATTCACCACATAATGTGCAAAGCTAGGATACCAAAAAGTTTATCAGTTTTAGTAAGTAGAAGAAAATGCTTTCTAATATTTTTTTTATGTTGACATCAAAGGGATATACTGTACAGTTGTTCCAATCAAACTCTGCATTATTTATCTGTCATTCGACGCTAGCCAAGTTAGGTTACAGATGCCAACATGGACAGCTTTTGTGACATGCTCTCATCCTATGCACAATAATAGACAAGAATGAAGAAAATATGACCCATTCTACATTAAATAAAGAATCTGGCAAGAAGTACATAATAATCATACTAATATTAATCTACAAGTGCCTGTTATCGCCAAGATAAAGCTATAACAATTATGAATGGGTAATGGGTAACACTTTAGAATACTGTTCCATCATTAATGAATAACTACACAATAACAAATTAGGAACGCGATATTAACATTCTAGTAACTACTATTAACTAACAAGTAGCCTAATTCTGATTAACAAATTAGTAAGTAATAGCGCTCAGTTGAATGAGGTAGTTCACTATTAGCTAATCAACTAGTATTTTTCATACCTGCCGTGCCAGATAACCCTTACAGAAAAACCACATGAGTTTCACATGTGCAAAAACACATGTGATCCCATGTGACAACGTGGACATGTGATTTTGCAAATGTGAAATTTAACATGTGAAATATGTGGAACACATGTGCTTTGCACATGTTAAAGGTAATTTGCACATGGGAAACGTGTGCTTTTAGAACATTTTCATGTGAAACCCATGTGATTACATGTGAAACCCATGGGATGTGAAACCCATGTGATTACATGTGAAACCCATGGGATGTGAAACCCATGTGATTGCATGTGAAACCCATGTGATTACATGTGAAACCCATGGGATTGCATGTGAAACCCATGTGATTACATGTGAAACCCATGTGATAACATGTGAAATTCATGTGTTTTTTCTGTAAGGGAACTACTAACTACTATATAGGTTCATTATTAATGTGAATAATGTAAAATGTATTAATTCTAAAGTGAAGATCATGGTAACCCAATAGTGTTATGAGGGTGAGGAAGGATGAACCCAATAGCAGACAGTAGTCAAGGCAACACGATTTATTAAACAAAAAAACAGGAAAACAAAGCCCACGAGGGGGCAAAACAAGACAGGACTATGAAGACTAACTAGACTGAGACAGATAACTATAAGAACACAAATAACCTTTACAGGCAATAGCGCAACAGGACTAAAACTCTTGACAAGATACTCACAGACTCTGACCAAGGATTAACACTCAGGTAACAATCACAATGAACCGACCAAAGACAGCAGATACAAGAGGATTAAATAGGGAACACTAATGACGAGGACAGGTGAAACTGACTAGACAATAATCACGAGACGAGGATAACAAGGGGGCGGGGTAACGAGACGAGACAACACAAGCACATGGTCCAAATAACAGACCATGCGCTTGTACATAAAACATGGGTCTGCCATGATCCTGCCACAAGACCAGTGAAATCAAAGACAAGATGGCAGAATCATGACAGAACCCCCACCTTAAGGAGCGGCTTCCAGACGCTCCTCAAGGGGAAACTAAACACAAGACAAGACAGACTGTGACATAGATAAACACCAACAAAACATGGAAAACACTAACAATGGCAAACAGGAATAAACAATAACGGGGTTCGGGTGAAAAATCAAAAACAACATACAAGGCAAAGGAGGTGGAGGAAACACAGAGTTCATGGGGGGAGGTCCAGGGTGGAAGGGAGGACTGGGGGTCTTGGGTCCACGGGAGGAGGGCTGAGGACGAGAACTCCGGGCAGGCTTGGACGGGGACACATGAGTAGAGGTCTTGGGAGAAACAGTCCGGGGTTTAATGGTGACAGGGGAAACAGTCTGGGGACAAGTGGAGACAGGAACGAACGGTGAATCAGTCCGGGGACTAGTGGAGACAGGGACAAACGGGGAAACAGTCCGGGGGCTAGTGGAAACAGGGACAGATGGGGAAACAGTCCGGGGGCTGGTGGAGACAGGGACGAACGGGGAAACAGACCGGGAATTAGCAGCAACAGATTCAGACGAGGACACAGAGGATGCGGAACCGGGACTCCTGACGTGAGAAATAGCAGGCAAAGGGGCAGGACAGGGTGCAGCAATAACAGCGGCAGGCTCGGGTGCAGCGCTCACAGGGATAGGATCAGGTGCAGCGCTCACAGAGACAGGCTTGGGAGCTGAGGACAAGGCAGGACAGACAGGGGGTTCAAGAATAGCGACGAGACGAGACAGGTAATCGGAAAGGGTCTTGGCCGCAATGATGACGGGCATCTCCTGACGAGCTGAAACTGCTCGCAGAACCTCCTTAGCGGCTAGATCGGCCGCAACTCTCTCAGCGGGCTCTGGGACAGCGCTTGCTGAGGCGGGCTCTGGGACAGCGCTTGCTGGAGCGGGCTCATGGACGGCGCTTGCTGGAGCGGGCTCATGGACGGCGCCTGTTGGAGCGGGCTCATGGACGGCGCTTGCTGGAGCGGGCTCATGGGAAGACAGAGACGGAGGACAAGAGGGTCCCTTCCTCCTCCTCTTCCTTCTGGGACGCGGAGCTGATGTCACAGCTGGACTGGTGATCGGCAGAAGAAGCGCAGCAGGGTCCATGACTGGAAGTGGGAGGGCTGTCTCAGGCAGGGAAGGCCCCCGTCGCTGAAGACTCCGAAGCAGACTCCCAGGAAATCCGTCTCCCTCGTTTTCCACGGAGACTTGCGGGTGTGGATGAAACCTCGGGAGAAGAAACGGAGAGAGCCTGATCCCCTTGAGAGATGACGGCCAAAACACGACCCTCCGGGATCACTGGCAGACAGGCAGAGGGTGGAGACCCCGAGGAAGAAGACAGCGGACCCTCCCGGGAGTAATGATCCCAGAGTCGGGCATAATTCTTCAGGATCCACTCACCCTGGGGCGGGACTGGACAATCTACCCTCTCTTCATCGGTGGGAGCCGATAACCACCATTGTTCCGGTTGTAGCCGGGGTCGGGAGGACATACTGTCTGCTGGGTTCGTTCGTGGTCGGTTCATTCTGTTATGAGGGTGAGGAAGGATGAACCCAATAGCAGACAGTAGTCAAGGCAACACGATTTATTAAACAAAAAACCAGGAAAACAAAGCCCACGAGGGGGCAAAACAAGACAGGACTATGAAGACTAACTAGACTGAGACAGATAACTATAAGAACACAAATAACCTTTACAGGCAATAGCGCAACAGGACTAAAACTCTTGACAAGATACTCACAGACTCTGACCAAGGATTAACACTCAGGTAACAATCACAATGAACCAACCAAAGACAGCAGATACAAGAGGATTAAATAGGGAACACTAATGACGAGGACAGGTGAAACTGACTAGACAATAATCACGAGACGAGGATAACAAGGGGGCGGGGTAACGAGACGAGACAACACAAGCACATGGTCCAAATAACAGACCATGCGCTTGTACATAAAACATGGGTCTGCCATGATCCTGCCACAAGACCAGTGAAATCAAAGACAAGATGGCAGAATCATGACAAATAGAATGACTTAAGTGTTACTACAGTACTTCCTTCTAAAGGAATTACTTATTATTTGGACCAGTATTCTAAAGTGAAAAGCATAATAACTCTAGTAATGACTGAAATCGTTGTTAGCTTTTGGGTTTTTGTAAGGTTTTGGATAATTCATGTAGTAACACTTGACTCATTACTATTCAAAACCTGACAAAAACCTCAAAAAACTTTACAATGACTTCAGCCATTACTAGAGAGTTATGATGATTTTCACTTTAGAATGTAATTAGTAATTCCTTCGAAGGGATTTGGTAATACTTGAGTCATATAGTGGGTTACCATGATCTTTACTTCAGAGTTAATTATACATTATGCATTGTTCAAATTAATTATGAACCTAATTGTTATCATATCAACATTGCACAAAGAAAAAACTGTTTAAAAGCCATCACATGGAGCAAGTATGCTAGTTCTTAGTAGTCCTGAAACAAAATAGTAGTTGTTGATTAGCTAGTAGTGAACTACCTCATTCAATTGAGGTATTACTACTAAATTATTACTTACTAATTTGTTTATCAGAGTTTCTTGTTAGTTATTAGTAGTTACTAGAATGTTAATATTGCATTACTCATTTGTTCCTGTGTAGTTATTCATTAATGACAGACCAGTATTCTAAAGTGTTACCATGAATTGTAAGCTTGTCAACGTGTCAGTCCTGCACCTGTAAAATTTGGAAGTTTGATGGTGGATCACAGCTGTGACATAATGTGATGAGGGGACAACAGGATTCCAAAGAGGGCATATCACAGACAAATAAGCAAGATTCAATGACAGGACATACATAGGAGGAACAACCAGAGCTGATCCAAACTGAACATGAGGAGCTCTGAGCTGCATGCATGTAAACAATCCAGGCCCCTCTGGCCTTGGGCTGGTGAATGCAATTTATCCCTGTCTCTCTTTATAATGTCGTTTGCAACAAGGTACTTCTTTAGATACTTGGGGTGCAAAAACCGAAGCTCTTTATCAGTAAATCGAGAATTGTTTTGGATCCAGCCCCTTTTACTGTGTTGCTCCAGGTTAAAATTTATTCTCGAATAAGCAGCAGAAATTCTTTGGCAGATATGGAGAATGCGAAAGTAACACATGGAAGCAACTGAGCGTTGTTGTGCACTCTTCATGTACGTTTCCCCCCAGAGACCACAGCCCAGATTCATTAGACCACACTGAGATGTTCCAGTGCTCAGCACATCCTTAGGAACATCTGTATTTTCATGTTACATAAGTCAGTGTGCAGAACCGTGTTTTTCACTTTGATCTTTTTAGCTGTCAAGGGAGAAAAAGCAAATATACAAGATAAGCAAGTAGCAAGATATAATAGGATAAGCTCAGAAATCATTGCTTGACACCAATAGAAAAATCCAAAATTGTTACTGCAACGCTAAACAGTCGATTAGCACCACAGGAACGATTCGAGCTGACATAGTGCCAGATCACTTTACTGATCGTTGTACACATTCAGTGCAGATATAACACTTCTTCCATCACAGCGCAGGTAAGACACTTGAAAAATTAGGGAGCTCAACTCTATTTTAGATTCAACTATTTAAGACTAAAATATAATTGGTCCTAAATCCCACAGACCACCTACAGCATAGATCATTCAAAAACAGTCCAATTTGTATTACAATCTGGGGGACGGTTTATACAAATTTCATAAGAAGAGGAGAGAGCAGGGCTTCAATTTGTGTAAAAATGGGGTTTAAATATTTTTTTTTAAATCCTTTTATGCCTGGTACAAATATGTGGTCTTGACTTTTGTTTCATAAATAGAGCAAATACTTTTTGTATAATTTGCCTGGACAAATTTAAAGTAAACATTTTCGACATTTTTACAAAAATGGTACATTTTAGCGTGAGGGAAACACTGCAACATTACCATATTTTAAAGGGATAGTTTACCCAAAAACATTATTTACTCACCTTCATGTCGTTTCAAACCTGTAAGACTTTCATTCATCTTCAGAACACAAATGAAGATCTTTTTGATGAAATCTGCTAAATTTCTGTCCCTCCATTGACAACTACCAGTTTGACGCTTCAAACGTTCACAAAGAGATCGTATAACTAATCCATAAAAATTGAGCGGTTTATTCCAAAATTTTCTGAGGAGACACAATCGCTTTATATGATGAACAGATTGAATTTAGGCTTTTATTCACATATTCATCATTCATTCATCAACTCACACACATCAGTTGTGGTAAACAGAACCTCAAGCATGTTCGCTTGGCGTGCAAGAACCAATGAGGTTCATTCTTGTGTTACGCAGCACGTTTGAGCCTCCGCAAGAACCAATAAGGTTCATTCTCGTGTTACGCAGGTTTGCTGATCAGTGTTTATATATGAATAAAAGCCTAAATTCAATCTTTCCATCATGTAAAGCAATTGTGTCTCTTCAGAAAATTTGGACAAAACCGTTCAATTCATATGGATTCGTTTTATGATCTCTTTATGAACTTTTTGAAGTGTCAAAGGGCCAGTAGCACTGTTGTCAATGGAGGGAAAACAAGCTCTACAATTTCATCCAAAAGCTCTTCATTTGTGTTCCGAAGATGAACGATAGTCTTATGGGTTTGGAATGACATGAGTCATAACATAAGTTTGTTGTTAACCTATTGACTTCACCTATTTTTGCTCCCAAAAAAGCCAAAAGTCATTTCCATATTTATAGTCTTGTGCTATGAATAAATCACAGACAGCTAATGGCCTTTGTGCGTTGTAGTAAAACATGTTTTAATGAGCTTCATTAAGTTTCCTATTTGTGGTTGCGGGAAATGCCAGGAGTAATTATTTTTCATTTGTATCACAATGTGCTTTTTCGCTCTCTATACTTTTTCAGATTTGTTTTGCCATTTGTCATGCCAGAGGGCAACACACTAGCCACATTACAAGTCTTGATCAAGAAGTAAAAACTTCAGAGATGTACAGTATGAGACGATTATTGTAAACTGCCCTCTCATATCCCTTCATCTATAATCACTTCAAATCTCGACTGACAGTGACATATGTAGACATGAAACTTAAAAAGAAAAAAAAACTAGGCACTATATGGAAGTGGAGCTACACACCAACCATGAAGAGAATGATGTATTCATTTGCTGCGCCTCACGGGTCATTACTTTTAAAGTCTACATAACAGGGTGCAGTATGTGCAAAATCATTGGAACAGAAATGATCGAATTACGTCTGTATCTGCGTTAAGGAGACTGACGGATTATACTGGGTGAAAATGTAGAGGAAAGAGGCAGTGGGAGGCAGTCAGATGGTGAGGACACACCTTTTGTACTGGCAGTAATATGGGAAGTGGTGCTGCGTATTGTTGGAAAAGAGAATGTCTCAGTGGATTGTGTGGAGCAGACAGGCCCAGGCTTCACAAGAAGCACAACTTCCCCCCTCCTCACTTCCACATTGAAAAGCTCAAATGGGGAGCTGAGTCTTAAAGACAGGGAGAGAGAATAGAGTACCAAAAAAAGAGACAGAGATGAGAGGTAGTACAAAAAAAGGTAAGCTGGATGATATTGTGGGGGGAAAAATCACATTTTACACTAATTGTAGACCGTAATGATTACTTGCAACCAAAATTACATACCGGAGCTTTCCAGAAAAGTGAAGGGCTGATACAATGGAAAACTTTTCTAAATTTATTTAGAAAATTCCACAAAAAAAAAGAAAAAAAAAAGCAATGCACTGTCTGGCTTTAGGAGCACAGAATATAATTTTC